TCATAAAACAGTACACTCACAGGTATGCCTGAACACTCCTACAGATGTTACTCATTTTAGAAGAAAGCCTAATCAATTTCCTTCTGTGTCTAGACACGCGCATGTAATATAATGTTTTTACATTTAGTAAATCATTTTTTATCAGAATAACCGTAGTTAGTCAAGAAAATAAGGGGAAGTGATTAGGGAATAATTTTGAAATGCTCTACGAAAAAAATCCCTGAGAAGGCGCGGCCACACAGTAGGACACATGAGAAAGAAGGAAAAGGAAACTTGCCAAGTCATCACCAGACAGCGTTGTAGTAAAAACGTGTCCAATATCTTTGATTAAAGGAAGTCGAAGAGTGGCAGTTGTCGATGAACCGTAGAGGAAAAGTTCGATGGAGGTTGTGTATGCCATAAAGCCTTGGTACTAAAATGCATTCAAATATAGGTAGAAACACCCTATTGGGGAGTTGGGCGTACGAGTTTAGCACGAACTACATCTGAAGAGTAACCCTTCAGTCGAAAATGACTGATAAGAAGCACAAAAAATTGGGCAAAAATGGCGGCGAGTGATTCAGGACAATAAAAAATGCAAGTAGAGGACTACATCGTCGCAAAACCCCAAAGAAACTTCCTAGCCTGTAACTTCCTCTCTAGGCCTCCCTGCTACAGCTTCCTAGACGGATCTTTTACATTTGAAATGAAAGCAAACGTTAAGACATATTCATCTAATGATATATGATTGCTAAACCTGTTTGAATTTGAATGAAAAAGCACTAAGGTCTATTATTGCATTAAATTCTATTTCGTATTCAATTCTTTTCCAAATAATGTCTCCATTTCCAAGGGAGAATCCGTATAAGCCTATTATTAGCGGAATCGCCGCCTACAGGCGCTGTGGTCCGTAGAACATGCAAGATCTGTAGGACTAAGACCAGAAATAGGAAACCCGCTCTGTAGTAAAAGTAGTTTTAATGGATCTGCTATTGTCTCTGAGGATAGATCCGCGACGGATTTCAAAACGTCAGACGAATAATATTCTTGTCCTTGACATCACATCTGTTGCTTCTAAATAGGTAGTTTTGTGCTAAATTCTAGGAATGTTACCTGCTCCAGGTTCCTAAGCCCAGCAGTAACTGTAACCCAAACCTTCACCCCTGGCTCGTGAATATCTCTTTGACAGGGGTCCTTCTTCCCATCGAGGCAAGAGCAAATGCAAAAGATGAGAACTGAATAAACACCCTAGCTATCTCGAAGTGATAAAGTTTGGGATACACAGAACAGAGTGAAGAATTACCTGACCACAGGATTCCATGCTTGCGGGTCTGGAGGCCTGTATACCGCCAGTCAACTTGTACAGTATATGGGAGTACTAGAATGGGACAATCAAAATTTGCGCTCAGTGGATAAAGGAAAAAAGGGAGAAAGAGGACGATAAGTCGTAAAGCAAGTATTTCAGTCCAGAAAAATGGGGATCAATTTATATATATTTAATAGGGCCTGCATGTCATTACGAGTACATTTTTCAACTTTGCGCTCAACAGTTCGACCGTCTTATCCGATGAGGTCCGCTGTGTGCCCCACAGTAAGGCTGCGCAAGAAAGCTAACTGGCGCGTGAATTATAGTGAGATCAGACTTACACTGCATCTACCGCACTATCTCCCCCCACACCACCTGGTCCCGGTGCCATAACCGCACACTTCTAAAGTCAATGCTACATGGGAGTAACGTCAGTCGATTTGACCTTTTTGCAGGATGGACAAGGGGTAAAGATTCTTTATATATAACACCACGTAGACTACCATATATGACTACCTACTTATTTCAGTATAATAAGCCTGCTTTGTTCCGTAGTCTACTATTTCGTCCAATGGTCGATTGCAGTGCTTGTCATAAATTGTGTTTCTACAGCTTTTCTTGTGTATTTATTCAACATTTAACACTCCATTGCACTCCTCACACCGAATACCTTAGCATCCTGTGGTTACTTTTAGCTTTCTAAGGTTTATTTTAGTTAAGTCCGTTATAGTTTAGTTTACTTTGTGCTTAACTTTTGTTAAGTTTTATTAGTATTGGTTTACTTTTCAGTTTAACAAGTTTGCTTTAGTTTATCTTAGTCTGGTTAGTTCCGTTTGATGTTCAGTTTATTATTTACTTTTATTAGCTTTATTTTAGTTTTTAGTTAGCTTAGTTTACATTAATTAAGTTAGTTTAGTTTTATGAGGGACATGCGATTGTTCTTTGGCTTAAAAATGGGGAAAAAGCCTATCTTTCATGGTTTTTTTTAAGCTCGAAAATTCAAATTTATTTGCACAGTTACGAAATGTACGGATTTCTTGTTTCCTATTGGTTGTATTCCTCACATTAACTATTGTAGGCTTCTTTGTGGCCAAACATGAGGTTATTTAAATTGTTTGATAGAAGAAATTTTTCGGGAAACAGGAAGAAAATTTACTTGTAAATTTTCGACACTAGCACGCTAGGTCGTCTTCGGACGCGAGGAGATTGTGTGAAGAGCAGTTCACATTTTTAAACGTGTCAAAAAATCGATAATGCTATAGATCACGGCTGACACAACATTATCGATTTTTTGACTCTTAAAAATGTGAACTGCTTTTCACACAATCTCCTCGCGTCCGAAGACGACCTAGCGTGCTAGTGTCGAAAA